CACCAAAGTCTAGGAAACCATAGGTGAACATTTTGGAGAAGGTGGAAATAGGTATCCTTTGCCAATTCTTTTTAATGAAGACTCTTTGGAGAGAGGTTTCAAGGTAGGAGTCTACCTATATTAGAAGCAAGATGGAGAAAAAGAACTAGAATCAGAGTAATTAGTTAACAGTCCACATAGGAACCATGTCAATTCTCATATTCACCACTTAGCACCCTTGCATATATACAATTTGTGATTGCAGTATGGCTTCTGTGTTAACTTTGGAGATCTCTTCCTCAAAACCACACAATAATCTGCCTGACAAGATGTTTTTGGATGTAAATTACAAAAATTTCAAATATATGTAGCTTATAGAATATGAATGCTTATCTTAAATAATAAGAAGTCTGGAAGTAGAAAGACTAATAGTTTGGCCCAGAATTCTGTTCCACTAACCTCAGCCTATTGTTTGGCCTTTAAAGCTGTACTGTCATTACTTCAAAATGGAATCACATGTAGACACATCAACACTGAAACATATATCTATGGGGGTTTTTTTTGGCATTTTTTTTTGTTTAGAGAGAGAGAGAGAGCATGAGCAGGGGAGGGGCAGAGAGAGAGGGAGAGAAAGAATCCCAAGCATATTCTGCACTAACAGCACAGAACCTGATGTGGAGCTCAAACTCACGAACTGTGAGATCATGATCTGAGTCTAAATCAAGAGTCAGACGCTTAACCGACTGAGTCACCCAGGCACCCAACATTAAAATTTTTAAAAGTTATCTATTAAATGTCACTGTAAGGTAGTGGAGGAAAGCTATGGAGTCAGAGAAAATATCTAAGACACAAAGTTCACACTGGAATTATATAAAGAACTATAATTCAATGAGAAATTAAAGACAAGGAAAAGTAAAATAAGCACAAGATTTGAACAAGTACTACCCGAGGAGGTTATCCAAATGGCCAAAATACATATTACAAGCAAATTAACCATAAGGTGATACCCTGCTGGATGTTTAAAATTTAAGAATGACAGTTCCAAGTGGTGAGGATGAGAGTGGAAATTAGAAAGAAATCAAATGTCCTTGCAAAGGGGTTTAAGCATAAAACCCAAATAATGGTGTATGAATGCAGCAATAATGAAAGCACCAGAGAGTAAGGTGCAATGTTATAAAGAGATCGTTATGACCTATTTGTGTGCTTGTGTGTTGTGAGGGAGAGTTTCAGAAAAAAGAGAGAGAGAGAAGACAATATGAATAATAGTCCACACATAATGATTTGACATTTAAAAATAAACAAGAGAAAAGGCTAAGTTTATATACAAAATTATTTTTTTCAGTTAAAATAAAATAAGAGATATAGAAATAAAACATCACAGAAATAGTTATTTTCTTTTTTTGTGTATGTGTTTTAATATTTTAAGATGAGAGTATTTTGTATATTTTCTAGCATAGAAAAAATAATGACACAGGGAAATATAATTTCTTAATTCTCTTCATTTCATGTCATTTCATGTGAGAGTACCACTACTAGCCTTTTCTTCTATCCTACTGGAACCCTCTGCCAAATTACACACACACACACACACACACACACACACACACACACACACACACTCCATATTCTCCCAAGGAAATAGCAAATGATATGATTGAGCTTTTCAAAAAGAGACAGTAAAGTTATTGCTCAGCCGTTTACCTTTCTCCCCCTCTTTTGGTATCTCCTGTCTTCCAAGTCTGGGCCTAGATGACCACGGCCAAGTCATGAGCTCAATGGAGTAAGCCCTGCTCTATACTGGGTACAAGGCCAGTAGGTTTTAACTTTGCCAGTGTCTGTGTTAGTAAAAGACCCTTATTCTTGAGCGAAGTAAGAATAAGCCATTGTAACCATCACAAATATAAGCAAATTGTTTCATTACCACTCAGTAATAAAATTCATACATCCATCACTGTCTCTCTGTCTCCCCTATGTTTCCATTGGATCTCAACTTGAACAGCAAATATAGTGATACTTATTGGACTGCCTCTAAATGCCAGGAAAAAAAAAACATGTGGCATCATGTCCATTCTCCAAGCCTAATTTTTCCTTTAAGATATTAATCTCTTTGGGCAACTTATTTTTTATTTGTATTGAAAATTGCATCACATAATATAAACATTTTTACTCCATTGCCTCAGTTATCCAGTTAACCTAAACATGGTAGAATAAAATATTTCTGTGTCTAGGATTGGTTTGAGAAGTAGCAGAATAACCATCGTTTAGGAAAAAAAAAATAAGGTTGCAGAAGACAAGAGGAAAGAGATGAATTAGAACCCAGGGAAAGGAAAATCACAAAGGACATTTCTAAAATGCAATCCTTCCTCATGATAATGTCCAATATATTATCTCTGCATCAATCTCTGGTGCATTTAATTTAAATTAAGGAGATTTGGAGATTAGTATTTCAAAGAATAGAATTAAATTCTCTGGGTTGAAATCCTAGATCTAGTGCTTACTGGATCTGTTCTTTAAGGTACTTAACCTTTTTATGGCTGAGTTTTACAATCTGTGGAGGAAGATAATGACTAAATCTACATCATAGTGTTGTATGAAAGACATGAGAAAATGTATATAAGGCATTTTGTACAATATCTGTATGACGACCCCATAAATGTGATATCTATTAAAGTTGCTATTTATATTATTAGCTTTACCATGGAACATTTGTCATTAGTATTTTAAAGACAAAATTACTTAATATTCAATTTTAGCTGACCATAAAACTCACTTTTTTATTAACAACCTTACTTGGTGTGCAGCTTCTTAGGAATTCTCTGTGCAAAAAACCTCCCAAGAGCCACTGAAAAGTAGAAAAGAATCGCTTGGATTTATTATTTTGATCTAACGTGAATCCACACCATCTTCTTCTTGTTTAGTAGACTGAAAATTTGTGGTAGAGATGAGTTAACGCACTAGTAGTCCAACACTATTAAACTTTCCGGTAGCTTAAGATAAAGTGACTTTGCTTTTTTTCCACAGCTTTGCCACTAACAGGTCCCAAAGCCCTGCTTGATAGTCAAGTTATCAGACCACTGTGGAGAGCCACAATAAATGTATTCAAATCTCTTTCTTTCTGTCATTATTTCCATGGTCTGTAAGTCAATAAGAATATGCTAAATGGCTTTAGAGCATTGTAACTTGATGCTTTGAGGGGTGGACTTAGACAATCATTCATACTCTGTGCTATAAACTCAAAAAGGAGTCACTAATGCCTTCAGTAGCTTGAGAACAGTGTCTAATTCCAAATGCTCCATATTAAATCAGTTATGCTATAGAAGACACCTTTTCTAAATAGTGTTGTCAATTCCTGGGTGCTTTAAAAATATATTTCCTTCCTTCCTTCCTTCCTTCCTTCCTTCCTTCCTTCCTTCCTTCCTCCCTCCCTCCCTCCCTCCCTTCCCCCTCCCTCCCTCCCTTCCTTCCTTTTTTCCTTCCCTCTCTCTCCCTCCCTTCCTTTCTCTCTCTCTTCTTCCCTCTCTCCTCTCCTCTCCCGCCCCCTCCCTTCCTTCCTCTCCTCTAGTCCTCTCTTTCTCACTGTCTCTCCCTCTCTCTTCCTCTTACCTTCACTCCTGCCTCACTTTCTTTCTTTTTTGCTTTACAGATGGTTGAAAGATCTCAATCTGCAATTAGTTATTACATTTTGTTTATAAATATTTCTTAATGTAATGAAATATTTTCAAGTAAGAAGTATATTTTTAAGACATTCAATTTGGAATAATTAGGAAAATGTCTTAAAAATACACAAATGTGACTGCATCAATGGTTATCATTTCCCATTATGACCACTGACACAGTCACTATGGCATTATTAGGGTTTTCTGTATTTTTTTTTTCATTTTTTTTCAAAGAACAACCACTGAATAACAAAAAATAAAGCTATAAAAATATATATATATAAGCACTTGGAAAATTTAAATATTTGTATTAATGTAAGGTAGTATTATAGATCCTCTTATATATCCTGTCAGAGAATATTCAAATTACATCTTACAAACCACATTTCATTTCAGAAATAAGAATATTTTCTGTTTACACCAAACACCTTAAAATGTCTTTGAAACACTATTCTATCAATATTCACTACATTTCTTTGAGGTTATTAGTATTTTTTTAGCTTCATGACAGAAAATAAAAGTAGATAGGTTAATTATTTAAGGTTATACAATAGCTCTCCAAATGAGGTCAAGGGCTCACACTCAATATCTGACTTAAATTTTATTGCCTCCAAAATACTGGTTGGAGAGGAAATCCACCAAAGTTTTTAAAATACTGAGAAAATTCTCATATAATCATTCACACACCAAAGAAATCCGGTACAACCTTGGGTTGGGAGTAACTTGTTCTGTGAGTATTCTGCAAGATGAGCAAACATTTCTAATAAATTTTAACTTGATAAACTAGTGGTGGCTTGGCAATACGAATAGTACATGATGCCAGATGTCACATGGTCACAACTAAGCCAATGGTTCTCTCTTTCTCTTGCTGCAGGATTATGGGTGATCGTCTCCCATATTCAGATGTTCGGTCTTAGGTCAAAGTGTTGGGCAGAAATCAATGATTTTTGAGAATGTTGGAAGGTGCCCACAACTGACACCAGTGTATTTTTTGTCACTTTAAAGCACCTATGGACGGTTCTTTGCTTTTCCATACAAGGGTAAGCTGAGGAATGCTTTGCTTCATTTTAGATCACACTGCCTGCAGATATAGACCATTTCCTCTGCTGCCTTATTGCCAGTTACGTTAAATGTGGGATATGACAACAGTTTATTAATACTGTAGTCAACATCTGTTAGTGATAGTGGAAGTCATCCTACACAATAACCCTCCTCTCTCCTGTCTCCTCACATCAGCCCTAAAGGTTTTCAAAGGTAAGTGCAGGTTAATTTGTTTATTTTTCTTCATATTTTGTATTTTCTTTATTATTTTGTATTACATTACAGTATTGTAGCCATTTTGATATGAATATTTTTGGGTCATGGAATGAATCGTCTGAGTTTCCATTATTTCTTATGGGGAAATCCGCTTTGATATACAAGTGCTTTGGATTACAAGCATATTTCTGGGACAAATTATCCTTGCAAACCAAGGTTATACACATGCCAAGGTCTTTAAAAAAATAAAAAAGAACATTTTTAAACAAGTTAATCATAATTGATTTCATTTTCTTAAATGCATAGAGAGATTACACTTTTAAAAAGTACACTAAAGAACAAGTAGAAAAAAATACAATATGCATAAAATGAGACTACAAATTAGAACATAGAAAGCCATGTATCAATGTACAGAGGTAATAAACAAATTCTGTAAGTGCTTGCATATATGCTCTTCACAAAACCAGTCTTTTAGAATATCTAAAATTAACAGGAAAAAGATTCCTTACCCTTAGGATAAAACCTGAGACATTATTATTACACTTAGGGAAAAACAAAACATGAAAATATGTGAATAGACATATAACTTTTTGTGCAAAATGAACAAAATAAATAGGCAAAGTTTTATAGCATAATATTTGAGAATCCCACTTTATGAAGTTGTGGAAATCAATATTTATCCCATTAACGTGGAGAAACACCAGCCACAAAGTGCTATAATTTCCCTTCCTTTTCCAAAGTGTAGAGAAAGGTAGATTTTAAATTCTGGAAAATGCAACTGCCCTAAAAAGACATTCACTTATTTTTTTTAAAGGTTCACAGGCAAAGCACATTTATTGTTTTTCACACAGATAATATCTGCTTAAATTTTCACACAGATAATATCTACTTAAATTGCTTTTCCTCAGTGGAGTGAAACAGGTAAGTTGCAGTGATATTGTAGAAGAAATGCATTAAAAGGATAAATAAGCATTATTAAATTAAATAACATGTCTCTCAATTGCACACCTTCAATAGATAATATTTGCATACATCTTTCCTTGGTTAGATCTATATAAAGATGGAGGTGTCCCTCTTCATGACAAAGGAAAATTAATACTTCATCTTATAATTCATGTTTTTTTATGGTACTGATTTCTACCATTTGGTCATACAAAATGCTAGCCATTCTTTATATAACTATATAGGCATATATATGACTGCTTTTCTAATATAGATGCTCACAGTAGAATTCTTAGAATTAGTAGCATTCCTAAGTAGGCCTTAGAGTATGTGCCTTACAAATTGTATCAGATCCTGTCAAAGTGTACACAAACTGGTTATAATAATTTGTACTCCCATAGCAATAAATAAATATGCATTTTCCATAGCTTTCCAATGACTCATTTGTTTTATGTTTCCAAGTGGGATTTGTAAGCATATCTAAACTTAAAATTTTTCTGTAGCTGCATATACCATTATATTCCTTTACTAATTTGTTTTTTTACATTATGTATTTTAAGAAAATATAATCTGCCAAAGTCATAAAATTATTTGCTTTTAATTATTTTAACATTTTGGCTTATTTATATTTAAATATTTACCTAGTTGTAATTGATTTTGTACATATGAATATGAATATAAAGCATGTGAATATGCTTTATGAATATAAATATTAAAAATTCAATGAATTTTCATAATACCATTTTATTGATTGGATTAATGTGTTACTGATTACTGCTCTCTATTTAATAATAAAATAGGTTTCAGAGTATAATTCCACTTTTACAAAAAGTGGCAAATTAGATAAACATATGTGTATACATTTTCATTAATGTCTCCAATGATGTTTACATCTATGTCTAGTTAAAATTAGATATATAAATTACATATGAACTTATAAATGCAGTTAGTATTACTTTTCTCAACCACTTTTTCTGACTTTTTGCATGTAACTATAAAATATTTTAAAAAATGATTGCACATAGGCATTTTAAAATAATAGTTATAAAAATAATGATAATCTCTGAAAGAAAAATATACATTTATATATAGCATAAAAATGGTATCAGAATCTATATCAAAATGGACATATTATATTTAAAACTGTTGAAGACTAAATTTTCTTTCTGTTAAGCAAGAGACCATATTAATCAAGATTATTTTTAAACTTTATACTCTTTTATCATTAATTTCAATTCTAGAGGATACCTACTTTTATCACTTTGCATCATATTGGTTATTATCACTGTGTTTATAAAATAAAAATTATAAATGCTCTTAATTTCAAATAAAAGTTTAATAATCAAAGAAAGATCATCAATGAAGATAAAACTTTATATTCCATTAAAATTAAGTCTCCAAATGTATTACTCATATGGGGAGATATTTATTAACATCATATATGAGAAAATAACTTGAACAAAATGATACATGTGGTAAATGAAAATAATGTATGTAATATGGTATTTATAAGTAAAAATACTGAATAGCATTTACACATTCTTGTATTGGTTTAAAAAAACAGAAATACTGTGGAAAGGTAGCAGTAAATATTAATTTTTTTCCATGAAGTATCTTATTAAAGAGAAGGGGAAATGGTTAGTTTTTATTATTTATATTATCTATTTGTTACCATCATATATTAAGAAAAACAAATATGTATAGAGTTATCTCAATTTTTAAAACTATGATAAATATACATAAAACATACATAAATAGAAAAACATGGACCTATTTATCACAAAAATATTAATAATTATTTATTGGTTTTGTTTTTTTATTTTCAGTGTTATTGCTAATTTCTCAACTATTATATATTTCTCATAAAAAATATATCAATTTGCCAAAATGGTAACATTCCAAATTTGCGTTTGAAGTAAGAGATAGCCACCAAATTCATACACAATCCATTTGTAACTTCCAGAATAAAAGACTAGAAATAACACTTAATATTTAAAGTAGTTATTTTATGTAAGGGATATAGATAATTCTCTCCTTTATACATTTTACATAACAAATGTTTTTATACACTTAGCCATTATTTACTTATAAGCAGGATTCAATTCCTTTTCAATTTAAAATTAAGTGTTTATGGATAAACTAGAAATGCAGTTATGAATAACACTTAATTGTGCTTTTCAAGAGGAAAAGGACCTACAGAGATCTATCATAAAGCACATTGCTCACTTTGCCTGAAAAACCAGTAGCCAAATTTACAACAATAAGCAAGTGTCACTCATGCCGCAACCAGATCAAAGTTGACAGACAAGCCCTAGAGCAGGTGGATTGCTTCAATTATTCGCCAGCTATGATGAATACAAAATAAGTTCCAAAAGCTTTCTGGAGATCTGTAGGAGGCTGGCGATAGCTCAGAGCAACATGACATTGATGATGAAGCATGGACAAGATAAAAGTTCCCCCCAAAAGACAAGGCATTGTTTTTTGTGGCCTTTAGTTTGGCAACAATTTAACTATAAATGCAACAGCTGGACACTGAAAAGATGGTATCAGGACTGGTTGAAGTGTGCTGAGATATGATGCTGTTGGCAGGCCTCCTATGTATTTGAGATGAAATAAGCTCAGCAACTGGACATTTTAGCAGCTGGCCAGACAAAGGATATTGTTCAGATATTTAACAGCTGATAATTGAGCACTCTAGCAATATTTGTGGAAAAGAAGGTGGTTACCAAATGGGTTGGCAAATGTTTGGAGACAATCAATATTCTAAGTTCGACAGAAGGGTTTATGGGAAGATAAGCCAAGAAGCATGAGACTGCCATTATCTCAACTTGTTCAGGGGGACTCTGAGAAAGATTAGACTAGACTCTCTGGTATAAAATGAAATGGATCTTGCTTAAATTCCAACACTGAATAGCCATTTTAATATGCTTTGACTTTGTCTTCACTGCAAACCAATCCTTTTGCCATACCATAATCCATTTTTTATTTATTTACACCTCACTGTTTTCTTACACTGATGATAGTGTATAATATACCTCTTTGAACATTCCTTCGGTAATCTTACAGTGCAAAAGTGTATCTGCTTCTTATAATATATTTAAGTATTTAATAAGTCCATTTAGTGAAATATACATGAAACACTTGAAAGGCCATTCATTCAGAATAAAATAAAATAGAGTAAGAAAAATAATATACATTTAATTGGCAGTAAAGATGAAGTTATCTTCCTTTATTGTAGATAAAATTAAACATAGTAGAAAGATGTGTCAGTTTGAAATACTTCTGCAATTTTAGTTCTTATACTGTACCTTACAGTTATAATTTTTACATAATTTAGAAAGTTTTGGTGTGATACATGCATATTTATTTTCCAAATTAAGAATCATCATTATCTATAGTTGCAAAAGTTTACAAGCTCAAGGTTTGTAAAAAGATAACATTAAATTTAGATTCTCGTGCATCTGTTTTCATATGCCAAGTTTTCAAACATTCCCTAATTGAAAATCATTTTGACTTAAACTTAGTACTTTAAAGTTGTTCTCAAACATCCATCAGTGTACAGTTCTTTGCAGAAATGTTTTATAAAACCATAATTGTTTAAAGAACAGGGTAAAATTTGATTACAGCAATTCTCACTGATTTAACTTGAAGAGATTTCTGGCTTCTTTTCTGAATTGAAACTTAATCGATTTTCCCAGACATGATGCCAAGTGAAATACATACACCATATACAGTTAAGAGGCAAATAAAGCAAGATCTCACCTTATCTCACTTTACCTGGTACACACATCACACTGAAGACAAGAGTCAGAATGTGAGAGAAAAATTACCTACTATTCTAAAATGACATATGGGAAAAACAATAATTGTAAAGACATTAACCAGAAAAGGAGTTCAAACCCACAAAATGGTGATTAGAGCTCTTTAGGGTTTAATGAGCATTGGAAAGAGTTTATAAGCTTTGTTCAAGTGGGGTCATGTTTCAGCATAAAATTCATGCTTGTTAACAAAAGAAGAACAAAAAATTGCTTGCCTTAAAAAATCTATAAACCTTAAAATACCTTAATGTTTGTGAGAAATAGAATGTCCTGAATGATAATGCTTCTGTTTTCAATACTCTTTTTGAAATCATAGAACTTAGAATAAACTTCCAAACACCTGAGAGATAAAACTGCTAATAATCTTCTCCATTTTACAGAAATCATACAGACCACATTAAAAAAACAACATCAACACAATAAGAACATATGTTTTTGTGTTTGAAAACTTAGCCACATGTAAATATATCCATATATGCATATGTTTGTATTCATCTACATACCTTTCTGCTTTCAGAATGATAATTCGTTAGGTATCAAGTATTCTTAAAATGTCCAACCATTACTTCTTGTATAAAAATTGTCAAAAATGTATTGTGTTCTTTAATCCTTTTAATATTTTCTGGGTATTAATATAAACAATAATTAGGAAAAGCAAAATTGTTTATGAAGAGTTGTTTTTTGATCATCTGTTTCCATTGCTGTATTTTGATATCCTCAAAACACAACTTAGAGTAAACATTTCAGGGTAATAATTATTTTAATACTTTTCTTGGTTTTTAAAACAGCTATTCTAGTTTGAGCCCCACATTATGCATAGAGATTATTTAAAACAGCTATCCTATGACCTTATAAATGGCAACTCATTCTCCAAGTGTGGTTCCTGTATTTAAAATATGATTCCATTTATGCTTAACTTGGAAAAAATAAACATTGAACAGCCACTCTACTTCTTCTAATATATTTTAAGAAGAGATACATCATTTTTGCCTTATGGTTTTTGAGTGCATATTTTATTATTTTGTCTGCATGGTTATATGCATAATACTATTATCCCTATTTACTGATAGGAAAATTTGGGTAAACAACACTTAGAGATGTTGATTGACTCACCCAGGGAAATGTGTGCTTGAATATTCCCTCTACTAACTGGGAAATATTTCCTCTACTAACTGGGAAAAGATTATAATAATGAGCTCATACTTCCTAGAATTCAATAATTATAAAACATAAAATAATTTTTTATCTGTAACTAATCACATACAAATTTTACAATATAGTTTTAGAGTAGAACAGAAATTAATAAAATCAGAAGTTTCTTTATATTAAGACATGAAAATTAGTATGTAGAAAAGTACGTAACTTCTTAGAATTCTAGCTATAGTTATTGTCAGAAGCAGGAAAGTTACCATGATCTTTTAACTCTTAGTACTGTGATCTTTCAACTAAGTGTATATGCAGTAAAATATACAACATATTAAGAACAGTCCATAAAATACTGATCCAAATTTTAGTTTCCATTATTCTTTTGCTTTATATGTCCAAAGGTAAATATGGTAAAGGTAAAAATTCAAAGTTCAGAAACAGATATGTAATATATATTCCTCAATCTGACCTATGACCCCTATACATTTTTAATCCAAGCATGAGAAACTTGAAACAAATAATCACTTTTAGCTGTTCCCTCCTCTCTCATTCCGGACCATCTATCTGCATTTCAGTTTTGAAGAAAAGTAGAAAAAATTAATGTGACTATGAATCAAAATAATAGGTATGAAAGGAACAGAGTACCAGTACCATCTTTGTAGCTTTTGTACTGACTTTTTTGTGTGGAGACAGAAAAATATAATAATTGAGTTTTATTTCTTGCCTTATTCCCATTTAAACTTCAAAACTATCTTTGTCATAAAAGACACTGGAATCTCTAGACACCTTGTAATGAAGGGAAAATGATTTCTAAAATCTACATGTTAAATTGTATACCCATCTAATCATATTATAATGAAACAAAATAAACCACCTTTGTATTAGAATTATGCCAGTGTTATTATAGCTATAAATTATGATAATTTAAGTTGAAAAAAGAACAACTGTGGTTTATATGTAAAACTCATGAACCTATGGTCTAGTATTCAATATTTTATATCTATGACAAAGTTTGACTATCAACTCTTTAATATAAAAGAAAATGCATTCTTTACTTCTATCACTCAAAACACATTAACTGTGAAGAATACCTAACCTCTTAGCACTTTTTCTTATATTCTTCATAGGTTTGGACTAAATTTTATCCCAGTCTATTATGTATAGCCTGTTTTTCCCATTCAAATTTTCCTTCCTCTGTTCCCAGCCTATGGGACTTTTACTTTCTTCCCCAATAAGCCTCTCCTTAGCTCTTTTAGATGTAAATTAAATATAAGTGTCTTTTATCCTCTTTTTGGCATTCATTATGGTAGAAGAATATTTCTCAAAAAAAAAAAAAAAAAGAACTGTATGCATTGGCTTAGAAGCCAAAGAATGGACAGCAGAGACACTAGTATGCTTGAAAGATGGCAATCAACATTATGCAATGGTAAAAAAAATAGTAAAGTGTCATCTGAAGTACTTGGAAACAGATAATGTACAAAATAAAATTGTAGGATGAGGAAAAGAAGGCACAAAACATTATAACTGGGTATATGTTTGCACTGATCTCTCTTGGGTGAGAAAGAGAAGAGCTCAGAAAGAATCTGCCGGTCTGCAAGCAAGATTATAAGGTTTCAGAGAGATTCAAGAAATTCATGGTTTTGCAATGTTGGAAAGTCAACCAATTTTAGACTGTAAACAGTAAGAGAATAAAAAGAGAAAATTTTTGAAGCAGGGAAAAAAAAGACTGATGTACCAGCATGACATCATGCCCAAAAATGGATAGAAGTGGTTCAGAGACCAATTAAAGATATAGGAACAACCAAATACTTTCATTTAGACAAAGTGACTCGGGAAAGAAACACAACACAACACAACACAACACAACACAACAAAACCAAAAAGAATACTAGCCAATATCTTACCACGGTTGGATAAGCCCAAGGTGTATGCAAACACAACCAAGTGGGAACCAAGATGTGGATACAAAACCAAAGGACTGTACTATCTCTGAAAATTAAGTCTCAAAAAGAACATTGGACTTGTTATTTCACAGATGGATTTCACTAAGTTTTCATGAGAGATGTAATACTAAATGCTTCATTGACATAGCCAGAAAAAAAAAGTCACTATTTAAAACTTAAAATTATCTTTAAACCCCTAATAAACTAGGGGCAGGAGACAAACTGGAAATGCTGCTCCTCCACCCATTTTCTGATGGCCTCTTCAGGTACAAGCAAGGTCAATGTAGGAAAATTAGCAATTCCAAGAAGCCAGTGCCATGTGAAAGTTGACTTGAAGCAATGAATTACAAACTCTGGGAGAAAAACAGCTTAAATTTTTATTTCAAATCTGTAATGTGAGATTTTTTGATACTTGTTTTAACACGTTTAATAATGTATGTCAACTCAGTGAAGTTGAAATAGGAATTGGTTTTATTTTTCTTCTGTCTTAAAGAGGCTCTCAATAGAATTTACATTTATGTTCCATGGGGGCAGGTGTTTTATCTGTGCTGTTGTTCACAGATGTATCCTCAACAACTATAGCGATATCTGCTACGTGGTAGGTGCTGAATAAATATGCACTGATTAAATAGATCAATAAATGCTCTTTTAAATTTTCTGTTGCCTCCCCAATTGTATTCTGCAAAAATCCAATAAATTTCCAGTCACTTTCTATTATTAAATTCAGTGCACAGCTTCCACTTAGAAGTGTATTTTAAACTTCATTGCCTCTCATACCCTCACAGCAGACTTGAGCTGGAATTCTGGACTACAGGGTATAAAGGAGAGGCATGGTCTGGCTCTGAGATAATTGTCCTCTTTTCTATCGTCAAGGTCCACTCCCTCTTGTGTATTATGCTGAAGGGGGGGGGGGGGGATGTTGGATAAGCCCTGCAAAAGTACCAGAGTGTAGTTGTAACTTTCTTGAGGTTTTTCCGGACAACACTGAAGAGCAAAGATGCTCTTTGTAGGCTAAGAGTTCAAATGCTGATTCTTTCATGGGTAACTGTCTGAGTTTTTCAAGGTCCCCTTTATGCACTACCTGCCTCACAGTTTTCTGTGATACCCCCTGTTGAGACATCCTCTAAAACCCAATGTTCTCTTCCCTTCAGCTGGATGCAGGCACCTCTCACTGTGCATGTGCTGGGCAACATGATCAGAGTTGGGTATACGTTTGTAACTGTGTGAAAAATACTCGATAATAATATATTTTAAAAATATTTCGGGGCACATGGGTGACTCAGTTGGTTAAGCGTCCAACTCTTGATTTTGGCTCAGGTCATGATCTCATAGTTTGTGAGTTTGAGCCCTGAGTCAGGCTTTGCACTGATAACGTGAGCCTGCTTGGGATTCTCTGTCTCCCTCTCTCTGCCCCTCTAACCCCCGTCTCTCAGAAATAAACATTAAAAACTATTTCATATATTTTTATGTTCAATGGTTAAAATTAGGCTTCTTTGAGAACCAAGTAAAGAGCCTTAGACATTTTCAAAACCTCAGAATCTGAGAGGTTTTATTGCATATTAAATAAGCCATTGAACAAGCTCTCTTTTTAAAGTTTATTTGTTTATTTTGAGACGGAGAGAGAGCATGAGCAAGGGAGGGTCAGAGAGAGAGAAAGAAAGAATTCCAAGCAGGCTGCACGCTGTCAGCACATAGCCTGATGTGGGGCTCGAACTCAGGAACTGTGAGATCAGACCTGAGCTGAAATCAAGAGTTGGACACTTAACCGACTGAGCCACCCAGATGCCCTGAACAAGCTTTCTTTATGTCATTGGCAACAAATTATAAAAATCTTTTAATTGATTTCTGACTCTCAATTTTGGCAGAGTGTGTATGTAGAAAGAACTCTGTCTTTGACGGTCAACTCCAACTTTACTCCACTTGAGCACTATTTCTGTGAATTACTGAGCTCCATGGGAAATGACACACACACACACACACACACACACACACACACACACACAAGTTGCACTGCTCTAATATACGTGATTGATGTGAAAAAAATCACTACTTCTTGCCCAGCTAAATAAAGTATCTTGGAATTTTGGAAGGGTAACTTTCCTTAAAAAAAATCAAGATGCTTTTGTACCCATAGGATTGTTTTTGAGCTAATGCATAATTTTCACATTAAAAATAATATGCTAATAAATAAGCATGACTTACATGTGAGTTGTCACCCACATATAGTTTCATAGAAGGGTTTGCCTAAAGAAAAGGTCTCTGAAACACTAGGAATTAATAGCGAGGAACAATGAAAGGAAAGGGAACCCTACAACAGTGGCAAGAGAAAATGACTATGATTTTTCTCTGGGAGGGCTCTCCTTACAGGTGATTAAAGTATGCTGATAAAAAAAAAATTACATAATGGAGGCATATCAAAATCATAAAATATTTGCTAATACCTAAAGTTAAGGTTCTTTGATTTGCAGCAGTTCTCGGATTATGAAACTGAAATGGCATTCCGGTTCAATCATAATTGAGACAAAGGACAGCAAAACAATGGAAATCAGTTGTCACTGAAAATGGAGCACTAGTCAACTTCAAAACCTAGACTCCCCGAGTCTCTCTTATAATTTGTAAGGCACAAAGTAAAGGAGTACTGTACTTATAAAAGACTGCTCAACCAGGAGATATGCCTGTGCTCAGTCATAAATTCATTCTAACATCCTTTTGGCATCAAATGAGACAAAAAGAATAGAAAAAATGTTTCTTTAAATAGTCAAAAACATGGTTTATGGTGGCATTTCCTATCTTCTAAATAGAGTAGTATAATTTTTCTCAGGAACAGGTATATTTTTAATAATTTCTTTCATATCCAAAGTCCAGAAGAGAGAAAGGGAAGAATTACATAGTAGGACACAGAGATTTTGTTTCTGTGGTCTTAGGTTGATAACCTAATGGATACAATGGTTTTTTTTACCCAGAGTAACTTAAAGTGCTTTTGTGTATATAAAAATGCAGGCTCAAAGGTGAAAATCCAAATTTATTTCCCAAAACTTTAAAAATAACTGAGTTTGGAAGGTAGTCCTAAAAGAAATCGTTTCACTAAGTCTGAGAAACAGAGGCTTCTCAAAAGCCTCTCATAGTACTTGTCTTTGCTCATTACTTCCTCTTAAAACATATATTTCATTTGGTTTGATGGTTAATTTTATGTGCCAGTTTGACTGGGTTAACAGATGCCCAGATTGTTGGTAAAACATTATTTATGGGTGTGTTTGTAAGGGTGTTTCTAGAAGAGATTAGCATTTGAATCAGTAAACTAAGTAAAGAAAATCCTCCCTCAGCAATGTGGGTACTCATTATCCAATCCACTGAGGATTCAACTAGACTGACTATAAAGGTGGAGGAAGGGAAAATTCTCTCTCTTCTTAAACTGGGCATCTGATTTCTAACCTCAGACATCACAGGTCCTCTTATATCTAGTCATATATGTCCTATTGATTCTGGTTTTCTGGAGAAAACTTACTAATACACTTGGTTTTTTAAATGCCACATTTCACTAGTTTCTCTTTTACCTCACTGGTCGCTTCTTTTTTAACTTCATTTTCTAGATTATTATCTGTATGTAAGACTCTGAATATTATTTCAATAATTAATTGTTCATCTATACTTACCTCTTGATTGATTCTCTACAACATTGTGATTTTAATTGTAATTGTTAAGCTATGACTTTTAAAATAATTATATCCAGCTTAGACCACACTGAGATTCAAATTCCTATATCAAATTGTCTATTCAGTGTCTCCACATGGATACCTAAATGGTACCTCACTCTTTACATCACAATAGTATTTTTTTCTCCCTCCCAAACCTACTACTTTCTCTGCTCATCAAATGGCACCATCATTAATCCAGTTGTTCTTATAAAAATATAAAAAATCACCTTCCACTTCTCTCATTCTACCTCATCCTATATCCAATCCTACTTTATCCCCCACTATCTTTCACAGCTATTCTCCCTCCCAAACCTGTACTTCTAATTTCACCATAGTGCTTGTGTACTGGGGGACCTGTACTGACACACTCTCCATGACCTACAAGACTCAAAGATCTGGAACCAATCTACTTAAATATCTTTCCTAATCATATACCACGCTTCATATTCTTGTCATCTCTTTAAACGCACACACACACACACACACACACACACACACACACACACACACACGTATGCTCTTTCCCTTTTACTTTTGCATTTCTCACCAATGGCATGATCAGAGATCAGTTCGAACTAAACTTAACCAGAGATAAACTGCTGAGGGCAGTTGTGTCTATCTTTAAAAAAATAGAGACTGTTATGTTAAATTAAAATTTGTTTCTAGATTTCATGCTAGTCTTTCACTTCCCCACCAATAAACTCTATGTTCTTAATTATAAGCCTGCATTGTATGAATGATGTTTTTGCGAAATCAAGAATAATGAACCATTTCCTCATTTACACAATGCAAATGGTGATACATTACAAGCTATAGGAAGTGAAATTGAGAATTCTTTGTCATCCCTGTTTGGGAAAATGTGGGTCTCATACTCTTAGTTTCTAGTTTGTCAGACTATATGGTAGGGGAGAAAACAAAAAGCAAATAAACATGAGCCCTTGGCAAGGCCAAGCTAGCCGGCTATAAAATCAAACCCTGAAGAGGCTTTTTAGGAGTCTATAAAATGTTAAATTTACTATAAATTTCTTATTGCACCAGAAAGCATAAACCTAATAAATCAAATCATTTTGGATAGTTCCAGGTCTAACTTTTAGAACTGATAGTAAAAGTGTTTTTTGAGCATAGATATTCAATTTTTGGCATTCACAAGAAAGAGTGTGGATAAACAGTGATGTTAGATATTGTTCAGAATGCTTAGCTCTTAGAATTTACAGTGTTTGTATAAAGCCTCTGATTTTGTGGTGCCTAATGACTCCTGAGTCTGGGACCCTGTATTGTTCTTCAAAGAATTCATTTAATTTAACTGCATTCAATAAATGCTTTAGCTACTAGTATTATTGAATGTCTATTCTAATTGGAGAATCTTGAATACATTGATGGTTACTAGCCATTATACAAATATGAGACATCTTTTAATCTAAATGCACTAAGCCTATTATCTATACCTGTGCTGTCCAACAGAGTGGCCACTAGCTTCCTGTGCTTATTGTTGCACTTGAGCCTGAACTGAGATATACTGTAAAACACATACTGTGTTTTTGAAGACTCTGTATTAAAAAATAACTCATTTATAATTTTTATACTGATTGCATGTTGAAATATTATATATTGACATATTTTATTAAATAAAAGACTATTAAAATTAATTAACCTGCTAATTTTTATTCTTTTAAATGTGGCTACTAGAAAATATAAAATTACACATGTGCCTTGCATTACATTTCATTTGGACATGTCTAGTCTGTATATCTTTCTAAAATATGATCTCTTTACATGGACAAATAGTCCATTATACAATAGGCCTTATTAATGACTTTCCATATAAGGTTTCCTGATTCTAGTCTACAAGATATGAAAAGAAACAGGGATGCAGGCATAGGCATCTTTTGTAATATTTTGTCAAGAAAATCAGAAGATTGTAGCATTATTGACTTTTTCTGATCCTTGAATATATTCATAGGAATATATACTTCAAAATTGTGATGAATACACTACTGGTTCTCAGCTATTAGTGCTCATTTAAGTATTTAATATGTTTTGTTCTTTATCTATTTTATTATGAACATTTGCATACATACAAAACAATTGAAAGAGATTTCCATTGAATACCCACATACCCAATCACTTAAATTTTACTATGTAGCCATTTTTTGGTCATAAAATGTTTATTGAATGTTTATTATGTATGTCTCAGGGCTAAAGTGGTGAAGCAGTGAGAGCTTTTCAACATCGTGGAACACATGGCTAACAAGGCATATAAACACAAAATACATAGACACATCATTGCACCTTGTGGTAAGTTCTAAGAGACAAAAGCATACAATGGAATGAAAAAAAAACTGTACATGAAACTTAGCTTTAAGGTTGAAAAGTTACCTTCTGAGGATGAACACGGGTGGTTGGGGAGGAGGAGTATTAAATCTGGAAGAGCAATCAAAAAAGAAGGAATGGACTACACAAAGGCCCAGAGGCAGCAAAACGTTTGACAGGTTTGAGAAACTGAAGAAAAATAAAATAAAATAAAACAGGGGTCAGAAGATGATGGTAGAGTGAGAGGACCTTATGCTTACCTCATCCCATGAATAAAACCAGATAACTATCAAATCATCCTACATACCCCAAAAATTGACCTAAAGATGGGTAAAATAAACTCCACAATAAAAGGTAGAGAAGAGACCACATCAAAGAAGGTACAAAATGCAGGGATGAGGTTTGGGAAAGAAACAGATAGTGGACACTGTGGTAGGGAGAGAGCTGCAGTCAGGCAGAAGGGCCAGAGACAAAGTAAGACACAGGGGAGCACCTAAGAAAAAGAAATCCCCATAACAATTGGCTTAGAAATTGCTTAGATAAGGACCACTTTTTGTAGTTCTTACAACTAGCAGAGCTTAAAGCCTGGAGTTTCAAAGGTCAGCAGGTGAGGCTGGGATAGAGTCTGGAGGGCACTGGACTGTTCTTGGAGAAAACACAGGAAAACAACCCTTAGACAAACAGTGCGGAAAGGGTAATCTGAAAATACCCTGGAGCACACAGTGGGGAGGTTATTTGCTTAACTCAGAGCAAGTCACAAAGAGGCAGTATTCACAGAAAGACCCCTCTCATAATAAAGGAAATGGCCAGCATAATTTCCCTCCCCTGCTCCTCAGCATAAACACAAGGCCACCTGCAAGAACTAGCATAGCACCAACACTAGCTACCTAACTTGCTTATACCAAGATCCCCCTACCCCACCTCCCACTCAGCACTCCAGTGGAACCACCCTTCTCAGCATCCCTTGCCTCAGTCCCAGCTTGTCAGGCACCCTCCTTCAGACTGGTCCAAATTCCTGCTTACACAGTGTCTCCTCACTTGGGAGTTTTGTAGAGCCTTAGTTCCAGTGGCAGTGGAGACAGGTCTCATTTCAGAAGCAGACCAGAACACACCCAGGTAAAATGCACCACATTCAGACCAGGGACCAAACATTGTGCACAATAAAGACAGTCTCTGCAAATGACTGGCCTGAAGGACAAATTGGCCAGGAAAGAACAGGAGAGCACACACAGCACGCATTGGAGACACTCCCAGAAGCACCAGGCCCTGGGTAACAGAAGACACTATATGGCAGGGCACTATAGGACCTCTTCTTCGTAAAGCCATTACCCTCAAGAAGAGGGGATATAGCTGACTTAGGAAAATCAGGCACACAGAGAAACAGGCACAGAGACTTAAATAAAATGAGAAGACGTAGGAAATTTTCCCAAATGAAAGAAGAGGACAAAGACGTGGCCAGACATCTAAGTGAAAAGATGTAAGTAACATGTCTGATGGAGAATTTAAAGCAATAAGCATAAGGATACTCACTGGATTTGAGAAAAGAGTGGAAGACAGTGATGCACTTAATACAGAGATAAGAAATAACAAATGAAATGAGAAAGATACCTTGATAGAATAAACAGCAGCTGGAAGAAGCAGAGGC